TTTCAGATAAAAACCCTAATAGTTTCCTCCAAAGGCTGGCCCTAAAGCAGCGAGGGGGTGGGAGGGCCTCTGCTGCCCGGCAGATGTTGTCGAAATAGCTTTGTGTGTTTAACTGCAGGAAACACAACAGCCCAGGACTCAGTCTCACAGCATCTTCTCTTCAGTCACAGATAAAGACTGCTGTGGATTTCTCTCCCTGAGGGAACTTTAGGTGGAGTTTTGTCAGAATCCCCGATGCCACGGGGCAATAGTCGTTAACGCTGCGGCGCTGCGGCATCGACGGGGGCTGGAGGCTGCTCCTCAGGGATAAGCTAGGTCAGCTGTGTACAGCCAGCAAATATTTAACTGTTCTGGACATACCCAGAATGGAGATGCAGCAGATACAGGTGATTATTGATCAGGCTTCAGGTAATGAAGACCTCTTGCCCTTTTAATTCCCCCTGGGGGAAGCTCTACACCGTGGGCAAGCATGGAGTCGAGGGGCTGGGCAGTGAACACAGCCCTGCATGCACTGAGAATTGCTGTGAGGAAAGACCTAAGGCAGAAATTGGGCAATTTGTACATTTTTCTCATTCTTACACTTACATTTCTCTGTGTGCAGACTGCTGAGCAACTGTGTCGTCAGGCTGAGCGCAGCCGAGGGTTCATCCAAAAAAAATGTGTTATTAACCTTAGATTAATCCTCTTCATTATTTATCATGCTTTTTATTAAAACCTGCTTTTGAGGGGCCCAGAGCTGTGGTGTGGTGGAGCTGGGTGGGCAGCCCTGTGTGATGGAGAGGGCAGAGCAAAGAGCCAAGGGGAGAATTACTGGGCGACGTTTTTGGTCCGGGTTGATTCCTTTAAATTATTCCGCGATTATTTAAGACCAGAAGATAAAAAATTGATCCGGTGTTCTAGCAGGGTAATGAAACGGTCTGGAGGCCCACAAAAATACAGACAGTGTATAATTCAGGTAGTTTGCCCTTAAAATAAAACTGTGAGAGAGAAAAAATGGCCCAAAACCCCAGGACCCACAGTGCAGGTGGCAGATGGGAAGGGAAGGGTGTGAAGAGGAACCTTGGGGGACATTCATCAGATAATCAGTTGTGCTTTATCATTGCCTGAATTTCTTGTAGCCATCAAAACCCCCTGTTAGTGCCACTTAAGAGAGATTTGAACACTGAGGAGTGGAAGAAAATCAGAGCAAAAAAAAAAAAACACAGAGAAATCTGCAAATTATTCACCAAAAATCAGACTTTTATGAAGTTTCTACAACAACAGTGGGTATGGTTGAGGGTTTGTACAGCAAAATGTCATTATAGTGTTTGGATATGTAAAGTAAAATCAGTTTTATTTGGGAAAAAATAGGATTTGTGTATATAAAATATTATAGTATTTGGATACCATAAAATATGTTTATTATATAAATATATTAATATGTTTGGCACTACCCAGACAGGCAGTGACACAGACAGAGCCAAGAAACTTGGCTAAAACACATAAAATCACAGTGCTAAATCCAGTTCCTCACCACCACCAGTTGCACTGCAGTAGTTGAGGGAATAATTTTCTCTCCAGGAAAAACTTCATGTGTTGTTATTACAAACTGAGATGAGCCTCACCTTGCCTTTCAGAATGTCTCAGAATTTTGTACTCTTGCAGCCATAATTTGGGTTTCTTGGGACGGTTTAAAGGGAGGATCTCTTAATTTCCTTCATTTGATTTTGTTTTCTTGCCCTGCATGGTGAAATCTAATTTTTGTGCATCACAATTGACGGGCAATGCTGCAAACCTTGTGTTTCCCACAGAAAAGCAGTTCCTGCCCGTCCAACTCGAGAGTGACATCGTGGGTGATAACACAGGAATTATGGGAATCATTAAAAGATTGGATTCATCTCTGTAACTTTCAGTAAAGCCTATAAAAAAATAATAATGTGTTGTACCCACACTACTCTTATTAAAAATGATAAATGATCCCCATTTTTTTTTGGCTAATACTAATTCCAAAATTTCATTCTTCTCTTCAGCTTTATGGTCACCATAATCTTGATGTTTTAATAGCTTTTCCCATAATAGCCCCAGAGACCTTTTTAAGTGGCAGCCCTGACTTTATGGAAGAGACTTTAAAAAAAAAAAAAAAATCAAGAAGAGTTTCTTGCACTTAAAGGCAAAGACAAAATACATGAATTCCCCAAGACAGGCAACCAGAGAACATTGTTTTGGCAAACCATAAGGTCTAATTATAATTATAATTTCTGTGCAGCTTCAGTAACTTTTTTTTTGCATCTTGGTATAATTTAGAGGAAGCTTGAAATCTGAAGTGCTGTTAGTTTTGTTTCTTGTCTTGAGCAGAATATTCTTGAGTTGATCATTGAATGCTTTAGAAAAGTGAGGAGATCTGAAGGTGATCAGGAAAAACAGACCCAAGGGGGCTGTGGGTTTTGCCAGAAATCTCTGCATCTCTCATTTTCCAGGTTTCTCTGCTGGTGGCCTGGAAATTAGCTCGAATATTGGCAAATATAGGTCCGAAATTTTCCTGCCATATTCTGGGTGAGAGAGACCTGCTTGAACGTGCTTTAAAGGGGAAACAGAAAGCGTGGTAAAATAGGCAAAAATTACATGAAAAGGGCCCCAAATTAGAAAGGAGAGGTTTGTAATAAATTCCTGAAGGAATTAAGAGTCTAATGTGTAATTAGAAAAGCACAAAGTGCCTGTTGCTGCTCGTTCTTTGTGCTCAAAGACTTCCGTGGTGGTAACTTTGGGAGACGTTTCCATCACGCGCCACCTCGGGCTGTATTTATTTTAAGTGTCTGTTTACACAGTTGTGACAAATTGCCTATGGGATGTGAGCTGTCTATCACTTCCAGAGCAATTAGGAAGTGAAACCTTATCAAAAGAAATCCGTCAGGTTTGAAAAGCCATAAATATTGCACTGGGATCTCTAAGGAAATCAAAGGGAGTTTGATACAGTTATTTATTTACGTGTTGCTGCACAAGCAGATGCACTTAGAGGTGCTCCTGTCTGTGCTATTCCCTGTGCTCTATATTCCATTAGTCCCATGTTATTTAAGAGAGAGAGAGAGAGAATTACCCAGTTGTTTTAAGTATTACATAGCAAAGGACTGCTCCTAAAATCTAATTCTGTGTGTTTTGGGCAGTTATATCTTTCTGATTTTTTTGTGATGAAAGGAAGGCAGAGCTGCAACTTCGGGTCTTTACTGTGTTCCTCGGTGTTATGCAGGCAAATTAAGAGTTTGAAGATGGCTTTTGGGCAGATTTTGATGTTTGGCACCCTAGAAATAGGTCTCTTTTAGTTCCCCCTGTGTTGGGTTGCTCTGTTTGGAGGGATCCCAGATCACCACCATTGCACAGCCCCTGCTTACCAGGGGTTTCCAAGCTGACACTCAGCTCAAATGACACAATTATTCAAGACTTGTAACTAAGGCAGAGGGGAGGAAAAGCTCCTCCAGCCATTGTAGGGTTGGAAAGGCTGTCTTGAAAAGGATGGCAGAAGGGCTCTCGACGCCTCTCAGCAGCAAAGAGGCAAGAACTCTTCAAGCCAAAGGGATCATTAGCCCAGAAGAGCAGACCTATAGAACAGCAGTGAAATATTTAACCTGGAAATTAGAGGGTTCTTAGCAATTAAAGTAATACCCACTCACACAGGGAAGCAGGAGCCAAAACCCTTGCTGGTTTAGGGTGTAATTACGAACGGGACTGTGTGACCTCCTGGGGAGGATGGGGGGGCAGGGGTTGATCCAGAAAGACCATCCCATCCTGTGTTTTTCTGTGGTCAATTCACCATTCCATGGTCAAAGCAAAATGTTGTTGGATTGAAGAGCTCAGGAGAGTTTTGGTGCAAACCTGCTGTGTGCAGAGTCACCCCAATTCCAACCCCTCTGTGCATCCCATCTGGGCAGTGATTTTTATTTGCCTGTTGCTGGCTGCTGCTGCAGGAGCAAGATAATTGATCACCAAGAGTAAATTAAAAAAAAAAAAAAAAAAAACAACCAACAACCAAACTTAACTACTTGCAGCAAATAATAGGCTGGCTGAGAAGTGGTACCTTGTTTGCTCTGAGTATCCTCTTGACATCAGCATGAGGCTCCTTATAATGAGATGCACATGTGTAAATATGATGATTAGATATTCGCTCATAAACATAATTATCATCTCTTCCTAAAAGTCTGAGCAGGCATTTCAGAATCCTGTTGTTGGAAATAAATAAATAAATAAATAAATAAATAAAAGCCAACAATCTGCATTCAGCCTCTTCTCTCTGTAAACAGTGGAAGATGAGGGCAGAATACATTTCCCGAAGTACCTAATGAGAGTGGAGGTCAATTAGAGTATTAAAATAAAAGTATGATTTTTGGTATAATTAGTGTTCCCTTAGAAAACTGCTGCAATCTTGTACCCACTTTAGTCCCCCAAGCCTTGTGAGTGTGACTTTGGCAGATGTAACAGGGTTATGTTGCATTAACCTCACCCACAAACTCCGCAGCGGCTGCGACGTCTCTCTCGCTCCTTGTTTTATTGCCCAAATAACTTCCAGAGCTGCCTTATAAAACACAGGGCGCTGTCTAATTAGTCACATAGAAGATTACAGCTGCTTAATTTAGTGTTCAGTTCTTTTGCTGATGCGGGGATTCCCGAGGAATAAAACATACAGTGGGTGATGACACGGCCTGGCAGATCCTGCTCCCTGGATCTGCCTGTAAAGGGAAAAAAAACATAAGCAAGGAGGAGCGAAAGAAGAGTCACGAGCCAGGTTGAAATGTTCATGGCAAAAAGGTGAGACTCTTGTAAAATACATCCTATTCTGTCAGGAGTCAGGTTGGGATGTTCACGACAGAAAGGTGAGATCCTTGTGCAGTGCGTCACACTGTGGGAGAGCTTGGTGGAGCGACAAGAACGTGAGATCTGTGTGCAGGCTCACAGGTGTCACAAGCTGCATAAAGATCATTTCATGGGGTGTGATATCTCCAGTTTTTCCCAATCAACCTTGTGCTTCCCAGAGCTCACCTACGCTTGGATCTTCAACGAGTACCCCACCTTCGTGCACCAGGACAACCGGCGCTTCGTGTCGCAGGAGACGGGCAACCTCTACATCGCCAAGGTGGAGGCCTCAGACGTGGGCAACTACACCTGTGTGGTGACCAACAGCGTGACCAACAGCAGGGTCCTGGGTCCCCCCACCCCCCTCATCCTCAGGAACGACGGTAGGACTGGGACAGAGAATCCTGGCCTGGGCTTGGAGAGGCTGTCCTGGGGTTTTTTTTTGACTGGCTGTCACCCACAAGTTCAGGAATGGCCTGAAATGTTCATATCAGAGTAGAGGGAGAGGTTTTTCCCCTTCATACCTCTGCTCTAGCTGGGGTTCAAAGTCATGGCCAGCTGTGGGATTTAAGGATGCTGCGGCCAAGGTTGCTCTTCCCACCACTGGGAGCAACTCTCAGTGTCAGGCAATAATTGTAAAAGAAATACGTGGTGAGAGTTGGCAAAGGACAGGAAACAAAATGGATTTTAGAGTCTGGATATACCAGTTTTGCTCATTTTATGCAGCCTGAAAGTGAACAAAAGCACTTTGTTGTTTCGGTAACTGTGAGCTCAGGCTGTATTTCCCAGCAGAATCAGGGCTATTTTTGGCAGTCTGTGGAATAATACAAAAAAGCAAGAAGAAAGCAAAAGAGGATTTCTAAATTTATACAGACAATTGATTTGTATCGTCGTCATTTTTGTGAAGATAAGAAAAAATAAATTTGCATGTTAATTCACAATTAAAATTAATTAAAATGTGTCTGTTTAAAGGATAACAGATAGGACATTTGTTCCAGAAATAGAAATGCATCATTAGCAACTTCTTCTAGAAGAAGATCCATTGTCACGTAGTGATATCTGACCAAAATTCCTTGCTTGTAAAACCAGGGCTCATTTCTGCAGCCTCCTGCTTGTCCCATGTTGACACAATTCCTGTGGGTGGGGAGCGGGGAAAGCCAAAAAGGAATATTTATGTTTGCTTCATACTAACAAATTAAGTGTTGAAGAAGTAGTATTTTGAAGTACTCAAATAATAGGACATTTTCACAAACCCTACTTGGCTGGAAGTGCTGAAGAGGGACTTTTTCAAGGGTGTGGAGAGATAGAACAAGGAGTAATGGCTTTAAACTGATACAGGACAGGATTAGATTAGGAAGGAATCCTTCCCTGGGAGGGTGGGGAGGCCCTGGCACAGGATCCCAGAGAAGCTGTGGCTGCCCCAGCCCTAGAAGTGTCCAAGGCACAGCCCTCATCCCCAGCACAGCTCACGGTGCAGGGTGGGATGTGTGGGGCTGAAATCTCACCTGCAGGAACCTCGAGGTTTCTTTTCACCTTCCTTCAGTTTATGGCAGTAATTTTTCCGGCCTCAGCTGTGAGTCATTTAGGCTTTTTACATCCAAGAGCTGCCATCCCTGTCATGGTTATTTTACCTGGACCAGCCTTTCTGCATGTTTTTTAGAGCACTGCCTGCATTACAATGCCAGGCTGTGGAGCTGGAAGCTGCAAGAGGAAAAGGTGCAGCCCTAGGGGATGGAATCAGATCCTGTGGGCAGATTGCTTTCCTTCCCCACCTGCTCCTTTTGTGCTCCTCTTTTCCCTATTTTCCTCTGTGAGGCTCCAGAGCCAGAGATCTCCTGATGGGGTTTGCTGCAGCTCTGCTTGGCAGAACTGGGGTCCCTTCCCTGTCGCTCTGCTGTGGAATCAAAGGGTGCCTCTTATCCCATTAGTTATCCTGAGACAGCTTTTCCTCCTTGGAGAGATAAATACCATAGCTGGTTGTGGGATGGAGGCAGGAACAGCTGCCACGGTCACCATGAGCTCGGGCTCTGCTCCTCCAGACGGAGGTTATTGCTGGTGATAAATACAGTGTACAAAGTGCAGTGTGTGCTGGGACAAGGATGGCTTTCCCCCATCCTTCTTAATTCCCATCTCACAAATGCATGCTGTCACCCTCTCCTTAAATATTCCCACGTAGCTCTGTGTGTTTGTGGCAGTGAGGATGTTTGCAGTGCAGGTGGAAAAGTATTTAAATACAATCTCCTGTAAATGTAGCATTGCCAAAAACTGCACGTTTATGGTTTGGGACCCGCCCTGGAATGTGCACCCACGTTCCACAGAGGAATGTCAAGCAGCTCTCCCTTTCACATCCTGTAAGTGCTGGTGCATAAAAGGAAAATGTAAGAGATTTTATGTTTTTTAGAGTTCCCAAGGAGTTAAAGTTTGGTTTTGGCTTGGGTTCTGCATGGATTGGAGTTAGTCCTGACATGACCAGCTGGTCCCTCACTCTGTGGAGAAAGGACTCTCTGAGCTGGTTTTATGTTTGGAAATACAAAATAGCTGAATGTTCATGGCACCAAAGAACAAGAACGATCCTAAAGCCTGAAATAAGGTGTCCACTAGGATTGGAGAGTTACTGTAGCTCAGAAGAGAGGGAATTTAAATTTGATGCCAGACAAGCCTTCTGGCAGCTCACTGAGGGATGTGGACTGGAGGGAGAGGAGGAAAGGGAGCAAACTGCCTTCTCCATTTAATAAAAACCTGTCTGTGCACCTTTTTCTCCTGGAAGAGCAGTGGATACCTGGGGTGCCATCCCTCCTGCAGCACTTTTGGCAGCCTCTGGACCATCCCACCCCAAAGCTGGGAGCAGCCAGGTGTTGAGAGCCACTCCTCCTGCAGTGCTTCACTGCTTCTCTTTAAAATGTGCTTAGGATTTTTGACATGAGAGTTACAACAGTAATAGTAGGAAAGAACTGAAATAGTCCTGGAATAAAATTACCATCAGCAGCAGCTGGATGGGCCAATTAAACCCTAACATTTCACAGGTGTTGTCAGGAAATGCATATCATCTCCTCAGACAAATTAGCTTCCCTCTGAATTCCTGGGACTTTCATCCAAAAGCACGTTTTTAAGCCTTGAAATTGGAAGATACAAAAGCCTCTGAAATGCAAACACGTCGAGCATCTGATGGGCTGTGACACCAGAGCGTTCTCCGAGCTCCAAACCCCACATCTGGTTTAGTCCTTTATTTCCTCCTCCATCCCTGCCACCTGTACAGCTAGAGTCAGATGTTAAATCACCCAGGGAGCAGCAGGAAAAATAAGGATTGTCTGCGTGGAAATGGTCTTGTGTTCAGGATGGAGATGTCTGAAGTGCACAGTTTTGCTCCTGTTGAGCAGGGACAGCCAGACTCACATCATACCCTATATATATATATTTATATAGGCAGGTAGTTTATCATTGTAGAGGGAGCCCTGTGAGTTTTCCAGATAAAAATCCTGATTTTTAGGTGGTTGGAATTTGCAGTGAGGTTGTCAAAGGTCACCGTCAGCAGCCCTGATGCACCTGGATATCTGCAGACTCCTTTGATCCCATCTCTGTATCCCTTGTGCTGCCTGGACCCTGCATTTGTGGGATTCATCTGCTCTGACCCAGCACTGCTCCTCGCTTGGCCAAGGGCCAGGGAGCTCCACGCTGTTGAGATTTAAACTGCAATCATCAATTAGCTGATAATCACTATTGGGGAAATTATATGTGCCGGTTTTAAGGCAGTACAGTGACTAGAAGTGTAGCCATTTATCATGAGTGTAATGGCCTTTTTATGTGCACAAATTTTTAAACACAATTTCATAAAGAGGCTGCCATGCTCCGTGATTTACTGGGGCAGTAAAAATAAAGAAATTGCCCGAAGAGTAGATGATCTCTGCACATCGAAATCCTTGGAGTTAATAGAAACCTCTATTAACTCCAGTGCTTCTAAAACTTTTCCTAATGGCTGTTTGTTCCACATTTCATTTTCTAGAAGGTGCTGAACCTCCCTTGTTATTGCTTTCCTCATCTCACAAGTTACCTGCAAAAACCCTGAATATTCAAGAGCGAAAAGCAACAGAGCCATGAAAAGAGATTTTAATCTTTGGCAGATGGCGTGGAGAGCTGGTTCAGATTCTCCTCTGGCAGTAAATGGGAAAAGAGCCCCCACTCCACGGCTGTTAGGAACAGGCCATGTTTAAAATGAATGGATTAATTGGGCAAGTAATGATGTATAGAACAGCTCTGCGCTGGCACGGGAACACTTGCGAATTTACTGCGGAATTTCAACCAGGCCTTAGCTCTCTTTTATGTTCACAGGGGTGATGGGAGAGTATGAGCCGAAAATAGAAGTGCAGTTCCCAGAAACGGTTCCATCTGCGAAAGGAACAACGGTGAAACTGGAGTGCTTTGCCTTGGGGAAGTAAGTTTGATCCATTGTTGTCGTTATTCCTCCAGCTTCTCACTCCTGTAGTTTGTGTTGAGGAGTTTTGCAGCAATTCCTAACGATTCACTTCCCTCAGCAGGAGTTACTTACTGCCAGTTTTCATATCACACAGAGGGCTTTGGGAGCAGGAGCTTGGCTCACCAAAAATAAAAATTCTCAAGGGAGGGAGATGGGACTTAATCTGTGTTTGGGCTTCTCCTGCGTGGAGGTCTCGTGGAAAACTTAAAACACATCTTTGTTTTCAAGAGGAAACACGGGCAACGCTTTCAAAACGTTTGGATTGTTAGGAAAATTATCACAGAATCATGGAATGGTTTGGGTTGGAAGGAATTTTAAGGATCATCTCATTCCACCCCCTGCCATGGGCAGGGACACCTTCCACCAGCCCAGGTTGCTCCAAGCCCCGTCCAACCTGGCCTTGGACACTTCCAGGGATGGGACAGCCAGAGCTGCTTTGGACAACCTTTGCCAGGGCCTGCCCACCCTAAAATGGCTGTATTTTCACAGCAGAACTGTGTCAAAGTCAGCATTTTAATAATATAGAATCTCCTGGTTTTAAGGCTCTTTGTTGATGTGTGTATATTTATTTTATATATATATATATATTTTATTTTTTTTTTATATATAATTATTTCATATATAACCTACCCACAATAAAATTGTCCCAGATCCTGTGCCAGAGTCTTCCCACTGACCATTTCCTCATCATCCCCAAACATGAGACAGAGTGAAGTTGGCGGGAGCTTCTCAGGACAAAGCCCCGTGGCTTTCCCTGCCAGCCTTATTTTGCTTTATTTTCCTCATTTAGCCCAGTTCCCACAATCAGCTGGAGGAGAGCAGATGGGAAGCAGATCCCCAGGAAAGCCAGGAGGCACAGGTCGAGCGGGCTCCTCGAAATCCCGAATTTTCAGCAAGAAGACGCCGGGCCCTACGAATGCGTAGCTGAAAACGTGAGAGGGAAGAACGTGGCACGAGGACAGCTGATGTTTTATGGTAAGCAGGCTGCCTGCTTCCAGGGGGGTGGTCATTGCACCCAGTGCAACGTGCAGGAAATGTTTGATGAGGTCAGAATTCTGCGAGGGGATTTTTAAAATGACTTCCTTTTCAAATGGCACATCTCAATAAGGGTGCGATTTGAAATAAAACCATAAATAAAAATGATGCTTATTAATTGAGAGTCGGAGCAGCTGGAAGGAAAACATATCACTGGGAGGACATTGGCATGGTAACAGGCTGAAAACAGTTGGGAAAGGGCTCGTTTGCCTTCTCCTGGCTGGGAGGGGAAGGCAGGTATTCCATGGGAGCATCCTGGTGCTTACAGATTGGGATTCATTATGGGTGGGTTACCCCAGTTTGTGTGAATAGATGTTAATTGCTTATAACCAATTAAGGACTCCTTTCAAGAGGGATCACTGATGGCACAGCCTGGAGAGTTGGGATTTAACCCTGTCAGAGCCACCAGAGCCTTCTCCATTCAAAGGCTTTGTACACCTGCTCTTCTCTCACTGCAGACCGAGCCAAGCATGATAAAAATGGGAAATATCAGCTTCATGGGCCCCTGTGTTGAGGACAGAAATTCAGTGTTTTCTTCCCAAATGCTCCTGATGGTCCAGCTCCACTCAGCAGGAAAGGTTGGGTTGAACTCCAAAGATGAGAACAATGTTTTTTTGGTTTACAGTAATTTTGCCACACTAAAAAAAAGAGTTTGGGAACTAACCCTCCTGGCAAAGCTGAATTGAATTTGGTGGGTAATGTAAATTTTTTTTTTTTTTTTTTAAGGGCATATATAGGGATGTTTTCAAATTGGAAATATTTCTAAAAGACATTTAATTTAGAAATCAGAACTTCCGGGGCTTCCATTTCAAATGAACATTTCTCCTTTTAAAATTGAGTAAAACATGAAATGAGAAAACATTAAAAAGGAGTGAAAGTGCAAGAACAAAGCGAAATCTCTCCCGTTAAGGAGAGAATCTGGAGTTGATTTGAGCTGGGCTTAATTTTTATAATTAAATGATTTAAAGATTCCTTTTCCTGTTCATCAAACGCTGTGTGTTTCTCCTGATTTTTCCCATGTGGAGAGTAAATTAAAAGACTCATCACTTGTACAATTTTACTCAACCCACGGCCAAAGCTGCCTCGTGAAGCAGTAAAAGGAGCCTTTGGAATACTCCCACCATAGGAGCCTTTGGAATACTCCCACCATACATATATTAAGTTATAATCTCATTACTGTAATGGATTTACCAGCCTGGATCCTGTTGCTGGAGGGCTGAGGATCCTACACAAAAGCTGCCACTGTGGCTCGTGCTGCTTCTCACCCTCAAGATGGCATTTCAGCTGAGAAGCTCAGGAATTTTGGGGAAGAGGAGTGTCCTCCTCCCTCTGGGATGGTGAGATGTCCCTGCATCTGTTCCATGGGAGCAGAGGAGTTCCCAGTGGAGAGGTGGCAGCCGGTTGTCTCCGTTGGTTACTGGTTTTAAAGATAAATAATTGCCAAAAATACCATGCTTGTTGTCTTGAGGGTGATGATTTACCAGTTAAGTACTTATCTTTCAAGCATAACTTGGGCTTGGCAGCCTCTTAGACTGAAAACAGATCTCCTAAAGAAAAAAAAAAAAAAAACAGCTTGCATTCTGGGCTCTGGAGTTCCACATGGCAGCAGAATTTTCTGGGGGAAAGTAACTTACTGTGAACTTTTTATGTACATTGTTTTACTTAATAAGCTTTCCTTTTTACATCTAGGAAATGTAATTTCGTTATTGAAATGCAGCTGTAACGTTGGCAGAGCTTTCAGGTTGCTTTTGGAAGGTCAGGGTTGGTGCCTGGCGTGGGGAAAGCTCTGGAGATGCTGAAAGAGAGCAGGTTTAGGTTGGATATCGGGAAGAAATTGTTTACAGTCAGGCCCTGGCACAGGGTGCCCAGAGAAGCTGTGGCTGCCCCATCCCTGGAAGTGTCCAAGGCCAGGTTGGATGGAGCTTGGAGCACCCTGGGCTGGTGGAAGGTGTCCCTGCCCAGGGCAGGGGTGGCACTGGATGGGCTTTAAGGTCCCTTCCAACCCGAGCCATTCCATGATTCCATGCAATATGGGCAGTCCCAAGTGCCACCTACGCTCAGTGATGTGCTCTGTCATGACATGTGTCCCAAAGATCACCATCTGGCTCTGACAGCACCTCAAACCCACTTATCAGCCTCTCTGTCTTGCATAAAACGGGAAAAATAGAAGAAAAAGTAATTCAGATTTACCTGCTCACTGTAGATAACCCAGCACTGTCAGCTCTTCCCGTGCTCCTGGAAGTTGTCAGGGGAGGTTGACTTTTGCTGTGTTTCATTCTTGTATCAATGTTTATTTTCTCCTCTGGTAGCATATCAGCGACACTGAAGTTGTTTGACATTCTTGTTGCAGCAGAAAAGGTTAATTAAACATGTGAGGTCTGTTCTTCCTCCATTTTCTGAGCTCTGGGCCCCTGCACCAGGCTGTGTTTTATTGCTCTGCTGCAGCGTTTGTTCCAAGTGCTGCATGTCCCACTTGATGGATAGACCTGCACGATGGCAACATGTTCATGTTAATGCAATTACAGTCACTTATCCCTGTTTCCTTGACTGATGTGACTCTCAACAACACATCACTTGTTTCCTTGCTGTGCCTCTTGTCCTCTCTCCCATTCCTAACCAAGTTAATCCCTGAGCAAGGCACGTGGTGAAACTCTTGGGGTGTCCTGTGCGAGGCCAGGAGCTGGACTGGGCGATCCTCGTGGGTCCTTTCCAGCTCAGGATAGTCTGTGATTGTGAATTAACAAACCAGACTGCAAAAATCTCCTCTCTTCCATCTTTCAGCAGCCAGAACTGCACATCCTGCTGCCTTCCTGACTTTGCTTGTTCCGTGCAGACCCTGTGGCAGGTGAATCCCTGTGGCTGAGGCAGGGGAGGTGCCCGGTGTGACCCGGTGTCACCACGGCCACGGCACCGGCTGAACCACAGCCTGCACTCCCAGTGCCTGTTTTCCCACTGAACTCTCAGCTCTCTCCGTGTGTTTTGATCCACACAGCATTTGGGAAGCACTCCCATTGACCTGGTTCTATTTTTAATCGGGCTGCTCATAAATTTTACATTTGATAACCCTCCACGAGGCTCTGATTTATACCCCGAGCAGAAAGCAGTGCCAACAGTTGTTTGGCTCTTGGCAGCAGCACAGTAAACAGATTACCTTAACCAGCTAATTTAAAAAGAAATTGCCTCCTCGTTCATAAAACCAGCAGCAAGGAGATGCTTATTTATTATTGACCTTGTTTCGTTCATGTGACGTTCTGATGCTGTTTCAGTCTGATCGTCCAACAGTTGCGTCCTAGAGATTGTCCAAAGTGTAGGACAAGAGGCAACAGGCAGGTTGAGCTGGTAAGATGTTGGTTTGGCTGCTCATCCCTGTGCTCAAAGCCTTTCCCACAACTGGTGAGAGTCTCATTGCCCCTTCTGGGGGTCCATCTTTTCTCCCAGGTAACAAGTGATAGGAGAAGAGGAAACAGCTTGAGGGGACGTTTAGGACAGACAGACTTATTTGTCACTAATTACAGTTCTTTGCAGCATTTTGTAAGATATGCAGCACAAGCCATTTAATTGGCTGGACCGCTTTTCACATTAAATACTTCTCAAATCAAAGTCCCACCAGGAATTTAGGCAGCTCCTTAATTTTCCAGTGAAAAAAGTCCCCTTTTCATCAGCAAGCCTGTTTTATTTGTGTGAGAGCTACTTTATGCCACTCTATAAAACAACCTCCAGTGTAAATCATATTATGCTCTTCATTATGGTTAGAGGTCTAAAAAGGCAATTTGCATAAGTGAAAATCAGGCAGTTTTATGTCTCAGCTCAGTTTAGGTCCCAAATCACAAATAATTTACCGAAAATTCAAAGCCACTTTAAATAAAACGAGTTTCTGGACTGATAAAAATACAGGGAAATTCACGTAAATAGGGCAAGTAGGTGTTATAATTAATTATCATTTACATCACTCCCTAGGAAACCCTGTTGCTGCCTGTTACAGAGGTTCCTGTTAGTGCAGGAGGGAATAACTCTTCAGTTTTGAATTATTTGCTGCCCAAGGGAAGTCTTGCATCCAGAAAAAGTCTCTGCACAGAGAACAGGTGTGCTTCTCCTCCCTTTTTCCTTTTCCAAGGGACTGATGGAAACCTGCTTACAGAGGAATCCCAATTTCTAGGAGATTTAGAAAAACTGCTCAAATTATTATCATTGTGGCTTGGAAAAATAGCTCTCGAGCAGGGAGAAGCAAAAAATACAAATAGGTGTGGGAAATGAAGTGTGAAGGCTCACAGAGCACCCTACACCTTCCTTACACCCCTGAGTAGCTGCAGTGTGGAGTATCAGGGATGAAAAATAACTAAATCCCCGAGAGCTGGTCTTAATGAACTGTCCACAGTCATTTGGGGCCGGGGATAACTGGGGAGAAAGTCATGTAATGGTGCAGAACAGCTCATGGAACAGGAGGTAAGGACAATTTAATTCTTTTTATCGGCCAGCTCCTTCAGATTTCTTCTGGTGTGCAATATTTTAGTCCCAAGCAGAGCTCCCAGACTGCTTCACTGTGGTGAGAGGCAGAAAGGAGACATCCTGCACAAGTGGCAGCATCTGGAGACCTCTCCAAAGACACACAGGCAGCTGGACATCCTTTAGGTGCAAGGTCCAAGCAAGTTGGTTTGGCGGAGGATTTGCACAGCTTTGAAGTTGTACAGATGTCAAATAACCCTTGATTAGCAGCAGAGGTCAGGATGAAGGGAAGAGAGAGCAAAAGCGATAGTTGGAGGTCTGGTTTCACGGTGCTGTGGTCGTTGGGAAGGATCACAAATCAGAGGCCTGAGGGCTTTGTGTGGAGGAGCTGCATCCCCACTTGGAGCAGTGCATCATCTGCACAAACCTCACACAACTGGCTGCACTCTTTATTTTCAATTGCTCCTCTGTTTTTCCCATCTCTTTTTCTTACTTCTCGTGCTTGGCTTTCTGGTCTTTAGGCTTTTCTGATCCTGGGCTCAGCCTCAATCTCCTTAGAATAGATATAGTAATGGACAAGTCATTCAGCCTTTCATGTGCCATTAATGATGAATTACACAGCCTGCACCAGGTCATCAGCTGCTAGAAATTGGCTTAGGAACACTGAAATCAATATACACCGACCGAGAATTGGATTCTCTGTATGCATTAGCACCTCATTTGCTTTAGTCTTTTTGGTTGTTTTGAACTCACAGATGATTGCAGAGTCCTGCAGGTTTATTTCTGGGGTTTTTTTTCTCACGTTGCTCCCACAGTTCTGTGGGTTTGTTACTCATTTCTGAGGTGATGCATCATCAGTGGTCACCTTGTTTCATTTTCAGATGTCTTTTAGGACGTGATTTCTGGTCCAGGTTTCCAGTGCCTACTTCTGCCTTTCAGTTTATTACAATGAAGGACTGATTCCTAGTGGATTTTTTTTTTGTTGTTTTAGAGAAGTAAGATTATACTTGGGCATTTTTTCATAATCACTTGGTTTAAAATGCCTCACTTTGCACTGGTGAAGACTGGAAGGTGATCAAAGGTAAATGTTTTTTTTTCTACCTGCTGCCATCATTTTTCTTCTGTCCCCCTGAGTACTAATTCCAGCCTGCTCTCATCTCCTAGGAGAGGGACATTTTCCTTCAAAGCTGCCCTTATGTAAGAGCTGTGCTTCTCTCTGAGCTTTTTCTTTCACTTTATAGATTTAGCATATGAATTTTTCTTGCAGTGCAGATGAATCCCTAATCAGCTTCCAGATTTTTCCTCCAGGATGTTCTCAAGGCCGGTTAACACCTTAAATACTCCAAACAGGACCAAAATATATTTCCAGACCCGAAAGAATTCATCTTTGGTCACTGAAATGATGCGAAGGACTTTTCCTAGACCTCTTCTACCAGTCACAGACGAAACCTTGTCATTGCCTCACATGATGTTGCTATACCAGAAGGTGTTGCAGTAGCGTGGAGCTGGTTTCCTACCCTTATTTGAATTATTTTAATTATCATGCTTGAAATCTTGTGTCGCATTTCCCTGTCCCGGTACGATCCCCGGTGACCAGCTGTCAAATTCCATTATCTCGTGGCCACTCTCACTTGGTGGCTCAAACATCTCTGCTACCTGAACCAACCCCTGAGTATTCCCCAGGATGAAGTCAGGAGCGTGGCTGCTCCTCTCTGCAAGGAACTCTTGAAAGGAGAGCTTGACCTAATTAGGAAAGTCTCCCAAAGAGCAGCGAGAACGAAGCTCCCGCGGAACAAAGGACTGCGACGCCTTTCGCTGAGCTCATCTGTCACCTGCTCTGCAGACTCGTTGTCTGCATCAGAAGTGGCTTTGGGATTGAAAATTTGTTCGGTTGAAATAACAGGAGGGGGTGAAGGGTGGCGTGGGATGTGAGGTTGTGGCTCGTGGGTGCTGCACCAAGGGGTGACGCGAATTTTGGGGGTGGCAGCTTCCAGCACTTCACGTTTCAATCTCAGCACTGCCAGGGCAGGAGGTTGGATGAGAAACCTGCAAAGTCCCCCCAGAAATGCCCTTTGCTGCCTTGGGTGACAGTTTCACTTATCTGGGGAGTCTGCCTGAAATGAGGATAAATTCTGAATTTTCTTTCCTCACCTTTCCTTTTACACTTACAGTATAGAACACACCTTGCCTTCCATGAGTTTTCTTGATTTACAGGTTAATTCCAGTTGTTTTGTCTGAGTTCTTGTGTTTTCATATGGGTAATCCCTAAAGCAGCACTGCAAAAAAAAAAAAAAAAATAATAAAAAGAAGGCAAATGGATCTGTGTAGGTTTTATAAAGCTCCTCTTACAGTATCATAAGATTCTCTTCAAAAATATGAGTTAGATGCTGTTAGAATAGTAAATATGTAAATTCAGGAGTAATTTGCAAATGTCCTTGAGCCACTGAACCCGCCGCAGTCGCTCGGCGCGTCTCGGCTCGATGGAATTGTTCAAGTTCTTTATCCACATGACAGAATTGCCTTTCATCTTCCTACATTTAAAGGCTTCCCCTTTCATACCTCTTTAGGTACAGACAATAAACAAGCTTAAAATATTACAGGGGCAGGAGGGGCAGTCAGGGAAATAAACAGTGCTCGCCTCTCCTTTCGAGCACCTCTTTTACTCGTGCCTTGCCCGTCCCTTGGAGTTCAGATGTTGGGCAACCCCCCACCCCCACCCCCCCAGCTTTTTGGGGGCTTTGCAGGCACCATGAGAAGTGTGCTGGGTGGTAGGTGTTGGATTAAACACGTCTGTCCCAGCCTCAGCACAGTTCTCAAAGACACTCAGCTCTCTGAATGTGAATTTCTTAATAATCTTAATTTTTTTCTTTTCTCTGATTACACGGGGAAAAGTATTAATCAGGTTCTTGGGGACCTCTGCTGGTAATACCTTCCTGCTAAGTCAGGTTTTCTTGTGTCCAAGCAGGACAAGTGGCCATTAAAGAAACCTGAACTCCATCTTTTAATGGTACTTTGTGAAAACTATTGAAGTTCTGTCTAGACAGATGGGGGTTATGAAGGTAACATAAGAAACTCTGAGGTTTTGTTTTATGGTCTTCAAAAACGTGTGGCAATTCTAGTGGAATTTGATTTACATGAGTTGTCTGGCTAAACTTAGACTCCATTAAAAAAAAAAAGCCAACAAAGTGACAAAAATATGTAAAAATCAGTTAAAAATGTAATGTCATAAGTGTCAGAAAGCTGCAAGTGTCAGCTTTCTCCACATTCTATCAAAATGTGCCTCCAATACCTGCTTTGGGACTTTCTGGGTTCGTTCAATGTCATTAATTCAGTGTTTGGGTCCAGAGATTTCTCATACCCGTGGAAGATGTTCCATGTGGGTATGCCCCTGATCTAAGACAGGACTCAGAGCTTGGACCTGACTTAGTGCCTATACCCACATAGGCCTGAGTTACTGGAATAACCTTAATTTCAGTGCAGAGATGGTTCTAAATTACAAGTTTTGAAGTTGGATGCTAAATTTTAGACCTTTGAAGACTAATTCATATAGGTCCTGAAGAGGAAAATGTCCCTATTTGAAGGACCAGGGGCGTACAAATGTCATTTATTCCACTGAGGCAGTAGATGATGAACTGTTGCTTTGCTTTTGTATAATGATCAGGATTTCTGAAGCTTTTTTTTTTCATTAAGAGCTTTTACCAAAACTAAAATAAAGGCAGGTTCTGATCTTGCCGCCTTCAGAAAGCAGGGTTAGACTCGGGGAAAGAAAAATACTCTTTAGCAATTCTTAATCCCATCATTAAACCCATCATTTAAACGTGCAGATGGAAAAAAGAGACGTCACCTGCTGGTTCCAAACACAAAGGCTTCACCCAGTGCTTCTGCTTTGCAGCTCAGCCCAGCTGGGTGCAGAAGATGAGCGATGTCCACGCAGCCATCGAGGACCGCGTGTCCTGGGAGTGCCGGGCCAGCGGGAGACCCAAACCCTCCTACCGCTGGCTGAAGGATGGGGAGCCTCTGCTAGCCCAGGTAGGCACCACCAGAGCCCCTCCCTGGGGCTCACACAGTCACAGCTTGGCTGGTTGCTGGGTGCTCTGCCCGCTCTCCGATCTCTGGGTGCTCATTCGTTTTGGAACGGAGAGGATGGGGGTGCTCCACAAGCACAGGGTGGGTTGGGTTGGGTTGGAAGGGACCCTCGAGATCATCCACTTCCACCCCTGCCACGGGTAAGGACACCTTCCACTAGCCCAGGGTGCTCCAAGCCCCGTCCAACCTGGCCTGGAACACATCCTGGCATCCTGTGCCAGGGCATCCCCACCCTCACAGTAAATCCCCACCCCGGTGGGCACCTCTGAGCAGCTTCAGGAGAGCTGCTGTCAGTGCTGAGTGGGACACACAGCAGCAGAGGTCCTCCCCAAAATGAAGGATCCAAGGTACAAACCTAAGGGTGGAGAGACCCTCGTGAAGAAGAAGGGGATGGCTGAGTGGGACTGTGGGCCCTCTTGCACAAAACCATCATCCCAGGTTAGTTTTTTTTAATGTATGATGTTCAGGTGAACTTCAAGCGATAATGAAACCTTGGTGTTGCTGCTGGTTTTCAGTGGTGTTCCCACCCCTCCTGCTGAGCTGTGTCCCTGTGCAGGTGACCAGGAGCTGTGGAGATGCATCCCCTGCCCAACCTCTCACAGGGGGTCATCTCTCAGTCCACGATCCCCCGTTATAACCACAAACTAAACCAAGTCACCACAGCTTTGCTTTCACAGCACTTCACACTTTTTTTTTTGCCTGCACTTACTATGAAAGAACATGGCAGCCCAGATTTGATCAAACCCCCAATACAGATTGCACAAACATTACATTTCTGCCCTGCAGCCACACAGAAAACCAATAGCTCTTTATTTTAATTTTTTTTTTTTTTTAAATGTCAGAACTCCCAGGGAGGGAGGGAACACTTTGCTGTACTTATTAGAATGGATAACACGAGCTCCATATCCTTAGGCTGATAAATGGTAGCCTGGTCTTTTTTGCCACACACTAATTTTCCTTGCTCCATGCTGGTCACTGGCAGATGCTCTTGTGCTTGAATCATGTGGCTGCTATGAACTAAAGGATCATTACATTATTAACATCTCTCTTGTTTTCAGTAAATTTCAGAGGATTTTAAGTGTTTCTCTCTGTGCTGGCTCAGATGGCAACCAGTCCTACCAGCCTTTATTGCTATATATGCTCCAAACGGCCTCAGGCTGTGCCAGGGGAGGCTCAGGCTGGACATCAGGAGGAATTTCTCCATGGAAAGGGTGGTCAGGCACTGGCAGGGGCTGCCCAGCGAGGTGGTGGAATTCCCATCCCTGGAGGTGTCCAAGGAATGACTGGGCATGGCACTCATTGCACTGGGCGGGGGGACAAGGTGGTGTTTGGTCAAAGGTTGGGCTCAGATCTTAGAGGTCATTTCCAACCTCAGTGATTCTGTTCTTCTGTGAAAATACCATTGTTTCAAATGTTTTTGAGAACTGGGTCTGGCTCTGACTCGCCACGGTGGAACAAAATGCATTTTTTGCTTCAAGCTTATCTACTTGAAAGGGATATTAATCTAAATGGTTTGGGTATTAAATCAATGAGAGGTCAAGGGAAAGTCCTCCAATTTAAATTGCATTTACCAACTACTATATTGGTTTTACCATTTAGTCTCTAACCTGACATAAATTTGGCTGGCAGACAGATAGATTGGAACATGCAAATTCTCCCTATTACTGCTATTTTTTTTTTGCCCACCTTGGTATAAAATGTAGCACAGCAACCTCTGGCTTTGTGTTCCAAGTAAGGATCTCCTTGTTTACTGTTTAATTTGCTGTTTAATCTGTCCTGTTCCCCCCAGGGCAGGGTTCAGCTGGAGCAGGGCTCCCTCACCATCACCAACGTCAGTCTGGCGGATGCTGGGATGTATCAGTGCGTGGCAGAGAACAGGCATGGCAGCATTTTTGCCAGCGCAGAGCTGAGTGTCGTAGGTAAGTTTGCTTTCCTGAGCCCTTCCAAAACCAGGAAGATCTTTGCCCGAGCAGGTTTTGCCCAGTTTCAGCGTCTGAAGCAGAAGTGCTGCTGGGGATCTTTGGCGAGTTGTTTGAGGAAGGCATGAGATGAAAACTTGAGGAAGAGGGTAGATAGGGAACAGATTTTTCTTACATCATCCCATACTCTCATATTCCTCCAGGTGACAGGGCATGGAGAGCTGGCAAGTGCATTCAGTCTCTTGCTGGTTAGAAATGTTTATGGACAAACCAAAGCACTGGTGTTCAGAGGGGGCTGCAGAGGTGACCCTGCTGAGGAGATGTGAACAAACCTCCTGTCTGAATAGACCTCTCACCATTTTAATGCTCCCATCCCAAACCTTCTCCAAGAAAAGAGCTTCTACCCCACCTCTTTTGTGCACACCTGCTCTGCTCCTGCCAGTTGGTATCAGGAGAAGCTCATGTGAATCCAAGCAGTGAAATTCCTGCTGGGAGGGAGAAGGGATTTCAGGGCAGGGTCTTCTCAGGGGTGCCCAGTGCCAAGACAAGGCCCAGTGCCACAATCTGAAACACAGGAAATGCCACTTAAACATAAGAAAAATCACTGTGAGGTTGGTTAAACACTAGGACAGGTTGTCCAGAGACATTGTGGCATCTTTGTGCTTGAAAATACTCAACATCCAACTGATCATGGCCCTGGGCAACCTGCTGTAGCTGCTCCTGGTGGAGCAGGGGTGAGATGAAACCATCCCAGAGCTCCCTGCCAGTTTGGGTGCCCTGCCAGTCTGCAGCTCATTCACAAATGCTGTGTCAGCACCGAGATGGAGTTTCAAAGGGTTAAATAGAATTCCTGGTGGCAAAACAGTGTTGTTTGCAAACCAGATGTTCAATATTAGCAGTCCCTGTTTTATCCTGAAGAACAGAGCACGGGTTTTTTTCCCCAGTGTGGCATTTTCAATTATTGGTCATTTTTTATCATCAGTGATAGATGCCCGAGTAGAAAAAAAAATTCATTTGAAGGATTGGCTGTGTTGCTGTTGGAGAAAAGGACGATAATGCTCAATAAATTAGACATCACAATGCTGAGATTTATTGGACGTGTTAGTGCATGAAAGAAATCGAAACAAACCCACTGATGCCTTTCCCATCTGTTTAAAAGCTGGTAAAAATGAGGTTTGGGAGGGAGATGCTCTCAGGAGAGGTTTAGCCCTTGCTGGTGGGGATCCCCAGCAGCACCTCGTGTCCACGTGGAAAGCAAAGATCTTGAAGACCTTGAGCTCAGAAACCTGGCAGAGAACTTTTAATGGGCCAGCTTCTCATTTGGGTCATGCAGCCTTGCTTCTGTGTGTCACCCAGATGATGTGCTGCAGATAAACGTCTCTGGATGTGTGGTTTTTTTAAAGGTAAAGCAGCATGTTTGCCTTTTCTCTGGAGCTTTCAAAGGAGGGCGACATCGCGAGCCCTCCCCGAGAAATTCAGGCTTTTAGACAGATCTGAGCGTTCAAATGGTTATTTTAAAAGGTCCTAAAGTTAAGCACTTGAGACGATGAAACGCCACTAATAGCAAGTGAGACTTAGAGCAAAAATTAGGTGAAAAAAGAGAAATGGAAAATTACGGACAGAGCTTTTCCCAGAGAGATTCTTCTCATTTATTGTTGCCAATTAGATTGCCTGCAGCCCTTAAATAAAAGCAGAAGCCTGTTGAGCTGGGCATTGTGAAATGCATATAGCAAGGTGCAGTCAGTGTCTTTCAGAATTTTCAGGCTAAATGTTTAAAAATAATAAATCAACAAGGTGGGCCTACGGTAGAAAAAAAAGAAATCATTAAAATCCTCAATTTGAAATCAAAATGTGAAGAAATTAAATGCATTTAAGTGGCAGAGGGAAGCTGTGGTAGTGTCGAGAAGTGAGCCCAGAGTTTCTAAATGTCAAATGACGACGTTTTGAACGTCACAAAATAAACCCCATATTGAGCAACTCCTCTGTCTCACACAGGACCAAGAGAAAAATAGCAAATGACTCACCAGAAAACCCAGTCTAAACTGTTCACTGCAGAGGTGGAAACAACAGGATTATTCAAACATCTGTTTTGCTCATAAATTTGGAAGAATCATCTGAGAAACTGGTTCCAGAAGTGATAATGTATTAACAGTGATACACGATATAAATAATAACCCATCTGGTGCCGAGTGCATTGGTGGGACGTGGTCCTTTATTTCTGAAGTGTTTCACAAGCCCAGTGCTGGTTTCAGATGGCTCTTCCATAGTCTTTAATAACCCACCTGTCTACCTCTGTGCCAAAGTGAAGCCAACTGCCTGTGATTTGATGTGGAAGACGAGACAGCTCAGAGATGAGCGATCTCCGATTCATAAAATCGGATGACGAGCACTATTGGATCATAAAGCCCGTCCCGTTATCAGCCCAGGATTCGGCTTTATTCAGCTCCTTTGCAGCAGCAATGATATCCTAAAGGATTGAGGCAGATGAGATGCCCTGAGAAAAGTGAATTTGCTGGGTTTTGTCTCCCAGCTGCTGCAGGTGAACTTTAGATCTTGTCATGGAGAGCACCGAGAGGGTGCAAAGCACAGTGATCTAAACTCTCATCTCACAAGCTGCAGCAAAAGAGCAAGTCAAGGATGATGTTGTGAGGCATCCAGGGATGGAGCAGGAGGTGCAGGCTGCAGGCATGGAGCTGTCAGAGAGGGTGGGGAGAGCTAGAGGGGACTGGGCAGGGATTGCTGCCACTGATCCATCACAAAACCGAGCTCCTGACAGCAAAACGTAGCGAGCAGGGCAAGAGTTGTTCATAAAACCCCTTAAGCCATCTCACCTGTTTGCTTTTTGAGCTTTCTGTATTGAAAAAAAAATTAATTGTCCTGCTTGATATAAATAAAACCTTCTGGTCACCTTTAGGGATTTCAGTGCCTGAGTCAGTCTGGAGGCAGCAGCCTCAGAGCTCTGCCTGTCATCAGGTCCCATCAAACACACCATCAGAAAGCCTTTGAGGCAGGATCAGAAGCCAAGGCATCTCCTTGCTCCCTGTCCTGCCCCCCAGCCAGACTGCAGATTGTCTGCAGGGTTTTTGGGGGTTGGTTCAATGGGTATCTGTTTGGATTTCACCAAACAAAAGTGTGCCCTGCAGGGAGTGAAAGAGCTGATTTGAGAATACCTTGTGCCCTGGTGCCAACAAGCCTTGCCTTGTTTTGCTTGGTTCAGGACCTGGCCATTGTCAAGGTGTTCCACCTTTATAGAATGAAAAGAAAAAAATAACCCATTTTTGTGCAACAGTTATGAATAGAAAGCATAAAACTGTCAACTTTTCTGGAAATATTAACATTTCTGATTAATGGTACGGGTTCTGTGTTTGTGACAGTTTTCCTGTGTACTGTTGCTTGACAAAATGGTGATCAGGACACAACAAAGGAAATGCTTGATACACCCCATGCATGTGTGGTTCTTAGGGGTGCTCCCCTCAGTAAAATGTGCTTGGTGGGGTTACTGGTTTCCCAGATTTTTAGCTAAATATACGTTTTTAACCAAGCCTTGAAGCTCTGAGGTGTCTGTTTGCCCCACTTGCACGTGGCTCATGAAGTCCAATCATTTAGGAATTCCAAGTGAGAAACAGCCCTGGAATGTTGTAATGTTCCAAAGAGTCTGAATTTGTTTTTTCCAGAGAGGATTCTGATGTGCTTTGTGTTGGTTTTCTTTTCTTTCAGCCATTGGGCCAGACTTCTCCAAAACACTCTTGAAGAAGCTAACTCTTGTGAAAGTGGGTGGTGAAGTCATCATTGAGTGTAAGCCCAAAGCTTCCCCCAGACCTACTTATTCTTGGAAGAAAGGAAAAGACATCCTAAGAGAAAATGAGAGGTAATGTCTTAAAGTAACCATTTCTTTCATTAACTTGCTCCAACCCAGGGACTTTCAGCAATGAAAGCTAAATTTGTCATTAATAGCTTCACAAAATTGACTTGCAAATACATGTGGAAACTGTTCAGTCTCAAGGAGCTGGTGAGATTCCTATTCCCACTGTGCCCTCCCCATCTCTGTGTGCTGCTAAAGCATCCCTGCCAAGAAGCTGATAAAGATGCACTCCAAAAAAAAAAAAAACCACAACTTTGCCTCTGCATTGCTCTAAATAGCCATTGTTTTAAAAAAAAATAAAAAATACCCAGGAGATAAAAATCTCCACTGCAAATTACACAGCCCTGGTCCATTACTCACTGCCCTGCAAATGGGAATTATTTGGGGCCAGTAATTAATCTGGCAGTCCTAAAACCTGACTTGGAGGTGGCTTTTGCAGGCTGGCCAAGCAATTTTTTTCTTTTTTCTTTTTTTTTTTTTTTAAATTCAAAAGGAGAGCGTTAGTAGGAAGTTGGAGCCAACCTTTCAAGTCCTCATGTGGTGTTGCAGTGATTTGTTGTGGGTGTAGGGGTGAGGTTGTGTTACCTGTCCCACTTGTGCAGCTCCTGAGAGCAGGACACAGAGAGCTGTCCCTGACACTCCTCCAGAATATGATGTGGCAGTGGGATTGTGGGGAAACTCCTGGCTTAAAGGTCAAAAAGCCAGAAATTACGGGAAATTGTTATATTTAAAAGCTTAAATCTGTCTGGGATGCTCTTTTATCTTGGAAAGTCTAGTCTTGCTCCACTCAACCAACCTGTACGTTGAAATATATACTGTGGTGGTGTGTATGGATGTGCAAAAAGCTATAGTTCGTTTTGAGCCAGATTATTAAAATATTGAACACCCTATTTCTGACTTATTTAGTTTCTTTACAAAGCTGTTGTGTGTGGAGTGTTCAGCATCACCCCTTGGGATGAAAAGTGTTGGGTGATGGATGACACAAAGCTTCCCCAGGCAGGGCACGAAGCTGTGGGAGGTCAGAGCTCTCACAGATCAGGGTATATTGATTTTCAAAACTGAAATAACCTGCTTTTCTGGTGAAGATGGTGCAGAGAATGAGAGGTGTTCAGTGCTGAAGTGTTGGAGGGTCAGCCCCATGAGGTCCCTCCTGTCCCCCCCCCGTCCTCGCTGGCATGGCTGGAGCAGAACGGGCTGTGTTCTCTGAGAATGTTCTCCTCAGCATGGCACAGCTCTTGCTCCTCGTGTGAATGTAGGGCTGGGAGGTGGTTGTGGGTCACCAGCTCCTCTGAGCAGTGCAGTGTTCAGCTCAGATGCAAACACAGCCAGGCTGGGGTGCAGGCACTCGGTGCCCGCTCCTCCTGCTCCTGCCAGGACCGGGAGCCTCCCACCTGGGCACCCAGCCCTGGATGGGAAACCAGACGTGAAACGTGCCCAAGCAGGTGTGAAACCTTCAGCTGCTTCAGCCCAGGGGTTTTTGTGCCAGCCAGATGATGCAGTGGGGACTCTCTGGCAGAGTGCCTTCATGAGCAGCGCTCCGTTGCCTTGGCAGCTGCACCCGCTCAGCTCTCGCCCGCTGTTGGTTGTGTCTCCTGTGGGGACCAGGGCCTTGAATCCTTGCCACCACCTTTATTAACCACACCAGCCCCACAGGCAGAACCTGGGGAGTGTGTGAACTGCACAATTAGGAAATGAGGTTGTCTGATGTGATGGTGGCGTTGATCCCCAGCACCGTCTGCCTGCACGGGCAGCAGGGGCCAAGTGCCTGTGCTCTGCTTCCTGTGGCTGCATTCCTGGCTCCTTTATTGTCTGGAGTGTTATCTCCTTCCTGCTGTCCCTTGACTGCAGTCCTGCCCCACTGTCTCCTTATACCCACCCTGTGCTTGGGCTTTGAACAAGAACTTTCTTGGCTGTAGAAAAACTCTGTTGGAATCTGGGAAGAAAGATGGCAGGAAAAGCTGTTGCTGAAATCTCTTCATCCAGGATGGGAAACAGAACTTTTAGACAGGCATGGGAGAAGAAACTGAAATGAAATCTCTGCTTAAACTGACATTAGAGAGTCCTTTGAGTTCCAGAGAGGCACCTGAACATCTGGATACTTCTCCAGACTGAAGGTTGATCACGTGAAGGTTAATCAATATAGATGATCCCTCCAATTCCAGGGGGAGTTAAAAGCAATGTTACTGTGTCAGTCCTCGCTCTGCATTCTGATGTTCAGCCTCACAGCTGCCGTGGCAATCTCTCCAGTGTTTCTCCTGGGGCTTTTTGTGACTTTTCAGCTGTTGTGTAACATTAAACTCCTTGCTGGAGACACCGTGCTTGGCTTTTTTTGCTGCTGGATCTCTTGCTCTGGAGGCCACTGCTGTCCAGGAAGCACAATGAAGTGTGGTGTTCAATGTTTGCCTGGAGAGCAGAGACTGCCATGGTTTAAAAAAAAAAAAAAAAAAAAGGAGCTTTATTGGTTTAGGTTTCATATCCTTCTCTGGAGGCTGAGGTGGTGTGTTCTGCACCTCTAATGAATAACGTGGCCTGAAGGCATCTCTTGCTGGTGGTTGAGAACTGTGCAATTGTGTTATTAGAAATTCTGCTCTGGGGTACAATTATATTATTTCAGTCATTAAAGGCAGTTCATCTCCATAATAATGGAAATCCTGCCTTGGAGGCCTAACTGAGCCAAAATGATGTCAGTAGCCTGAGTCCAGAAGGTAAATTTTATATAGGAACAGCTATAGCCCAGATACAGATCTATTGCTAGTGCTGGTTGGAAACAAAGACTATTTCTGTATGGGCAAAGCTGCAGAGATCATTTTCTATCCTTGATCTTCCCTTCACATTTCAGCACCAAACAGCTGTTACACTCTGGGAAAGTCATCAGTCCTGCTAATGCCACTTTTACAGATCAGCCTTGGAGGGCCACTGGGAGATTACAAGCAGGTGGAGCATGACTGAAATACATCCACCCCTGGGAAAGCCTCACTCAGGAACAGGGAATGGATAGGAATGGTCATCTTAAAGCTGTTCAGGCTGCAGCATCAGAGAGGCAGTAGGGCACAAGCAGTGTTTAGGACCTCCTTGCTCCAGCACACTCCTCAGCAGAAGTTGGTTTCCTCTTTTATCAATCACACAAAACCTGGAAGTCTGAGCCAGCTGCAGCTCATAGGGAGTAATTCCAGAAGCCAACAAGCACCCAGAGCTCAAGGTGGAAGTGATGTCTTCTGGCCATTGCAGAACTGTGCTGTGTCCTTAGGTCATGTCAGATCATTCATCAGAGAGGCCTGAGGTGAGTTCAGAATGTTTTTCACTTCCAGTTGTTTCTCCTGTATTCATATTTCTGTATATGTTTAACCTCCAGTCTCTTTATCCTGACTCACAATACAAGAAAGTCGATTTTGGAGGGCTGGCACCTCATGTCCCAGGTTCTCTTTTCTCATGTCACACCTGCATCAGTGGGACTCAGAAGGGATGCTGGACTGAAGCCCATGAGATCAAGGTGAAAGAGTTACTGCCCTGCTGCCTGAGGAGGGCTGGCATTCCAAACCAGGCCAGAAAAACTGGGATTTTCCTTTAAACCCCAGAACTCCTAAATCCAAGCCTCCCCCCTAATCCACAGTATTTCCCATTTGTGATATATTATTCAGTGGCAGGAGTAGGAGGGGAAGTCCTGGCACTCAGATTGTTCTTGCAGGATTTTGTTAATCTTCTCCTAATAATTCAATTACATCTAGTGCCACAACATTAGATATATTTGTTACTGAGGCTAGTGCTCTAAAGCCTTCCTTCTCAGGTGATCTTATCACAGAAACCTTTCCATTTCTTTATCATTTTGGTGTGGCTCCCACAGAGAGCAGCACTTACTCACAAGTGAGAGGGGTTCATCCTCGTGATGGTGGAAAACAGGGGCTTGGTTTTTTTAAAGTAATTTAACACAGTTCATTTAAAACAATTCATTTAAAAATAGTTGATCTGCCCCAATTTTCATCCAGTCTTCTGTAGCCCACTGAAATCCAAGGGTGGAGCCCAACAAATCCACAGATCGGAGCAGCGTCCGAGGGCCCGGCCGTGGGAGGGGTGGGGTGTGACAGCAGGACTTGGGCTGGTCCTGTGATCTGCTCTGGCAGACCAGGTCATTCTGTCACTCCACTGCACAGATTGAACTGGTTTTTGATAATTTACCATCAGAGGCTGTTTAGTTAAAGCACCTCAAGGAAATTTCTCGTGGAGTCGGTCACGGGTTGTATTTTGGTTGTATTGTTGGTGTGGAATGATTTTGCTGGAGCTGTCTAGACAAAATCCTGAATAATGTTGTAAAAGGGACCCTGCCTGAGCAGGGAGGTTGGACTGGGTGACCTCCAGTGGTCCCTTGCAGCCTGGAGCTGTCTGTGAGTAGCACTGGGAGGGCTTGTTCGGCCCTGCTTTGTCCGGCAAGGTCTGCATCACTTGCCCTGCAAGTCTTTCCTCCTTTCTCAGGTGCTTGTTTTGGATTTAGGCAAATGACTTTTAATTTCCATGCCTTAATGGTAGTAATTGCATCTGTTTATTTCTCACACTGTCATTTCCCAGAGGTGAAGTTCTAGGGTTGTGTGGTTCAAGAGCAGGTGAGGAGACATCATGTTTCACCCTCTTGGTCTGCCTTGGCTTCCTGCTGTGCCCGTTCTCCTTTGCTCCCCAGTGGCAGACTGAGTGCAGGAAAACCAAGAGAACTTTTATTTAAAATATGCCCACAACGGTCCTAATTCCTGATGTTGTCCCAAAGCTCTTGGAAGTCACATTTACCCTGCCACCAGACACCTACTCAGGCCAGGACAGAAAAATTATTGTACTTTTAGGCCCCAAAACAAATTGCTTTTCTCCTGTTCTTCTTCATGAAAAGCCCCTACATCATTAGAGCTGTTTCTTTCCTCTGAATATACAGTGCCTGCATTGTTTATACAGTTTAATTGTAAGGAAAGAAAATCATAAAAAAACAAATTACGTTCTGTGCTGGTAGCAAAGAATATGAAAGTGTC